AAATTTGTATTTTCAGTTATAAAAAAGATTCTCAACCGAAAAAATACCCCAAAAATATAGCAAATCTTCAGAGAAATTATATAATACATCTGAATACATAAATTATATTAATTAAAAAAAAAACTTATGAATACATTCATGCCATATAGCGAGATAGTGAATACAATGAAATACATAGAATACAGCGGAATACATTGAAATACAATGAGAAAAAAAAGACAGTGAATACAATGAAATACATGAAATACAACGAGATACATTGAATTATAATGAAAAAAAGACAATGAATACAATGAAATACATGAAAAATACGTCAGCAAGAACAACATTAGAAGCAGAAAAATGACAGTGATGGTCGCCGTCTAACCCACTTTCTTGCTCCAAAACGGTGGCTCCAGTGGCGGCGTTCCTCCTCCTCCACCCAATAAATGTACGGTCATCGTCTAACCGGTGGCACTCGAACAAAACAAAATCACCAGCGTCTAATTTTTTCTCCTTCACAAAACGACTCTATCCTTTAGTTAATACATAACTTTGACTACTATTCCAATATGAATATCTAAAAGTCCATAATTCCCCTAACTCGTCCTCGAAATTCAGTAAAAATCCTTTTTCGCCGGAGTCATTATGGGTCCCGGAAGTGTTTGATTTTGGATCCGGAAGTGAAAACATACTGTAGGAATACGCCGTTGCAGTCGTCGGATGCGGGAGCCGGAGCAATTTCTGAAGTGGGCTTTGCACAAATCCGGTGGAAGGAGGAGTAGATCGAAATTTTAATGGGATGGGTGAAGAGAATGGGATGTATCAAAGTAGAGAGAGAAAGAAAATAGTGTAACTGATTAGCGTACTTAGTGGGTTAGGGCTAGGAGGTAACCAAAATTAAATATTTTGCTATAAACCTTAAAAGGTATCTATAGAATATAATTTTTTTAAATGGTATTTATTTAAAATAAATAAGGTGTTAACCTTTTCTATAGGAGGTAAAAATTCCTTCATTTTATAGGGTTGATTTTATAAATATAATCACTCAACTTTCAATTTTGGTACTAAATTTCCTAAAATAAACTATTTTTATAATAAAAGAATTATTCAATTTTGCCTAAGTATAACAAAAGTCACTAATTATATTTTGTAACAATAAAATCACACAACTTTGTCTAAATATAATAGAAACTCATTTGGAGGAAACAAAAGGGACATTTTATATCATACTTAGGCAAAGTTGAATTACGATTTGGTTCAAAACTTGTCTAGACTTGTTGTGATTGGCAAAGTTGAATGTTCTTTTTTTTTTTTTTTGGCTATAAAAAATAGTTTAATAATTTTCGGTGATACTTGAGCAAAGTTGAGTGGTTTAACATATTTTTATATTTGGGAACTTCTTAACCATTTTCATTTCAAGCTTAATCATATTCTCTTATATTAATAACGGAAACATGTTTAATATCACTATATCCTGAGTATATTTTTAGTATTATATATACAGAGCCTTTTTTAAAATAATCCAGTTCAAAACAGGCCTATGAGTTATGACATATACCTTCAATGGCGTACCTCACTACTCACTAGGAAGGGTCTAATCAACTCGGCCATTGTGAGAGGATTATGCTTGAAGTGCTAAGGGAAATTTTCGTCTCTATACCATATAGGAAATTATATTACCAAATATGTTTATAGTTTGCATATTACCCTTCATGTTAATAGTATTTCTACATAATATAGACAATGCATTAAATAAAGAATCGTTGTAGTTGTAGGCTTCCTTATTTTGGCGCGCTAAAATTGAGGGATTAAATATTCTTCCAGATCTTCCACAATGCAAATCACGCCCATTAATCTTCTTCGTCAGTTTCGTTTCAAATTTAGCATCTCTGCTTTTTCGATACACTGTGTTTCAAACTTTTTTCTGATTTCACAAATCAAAAACGACTAAATCTTCTACAATTCTTCTACATCAATCGCATTTATGTCCAAATTTCAGTAATACAAAGCAAAGGAAAAGAGAGCAGTAATTCCACCATTGACAGTTATTAAAAAGTTTTGAAGCTTTGAATTCAAATTTGAGTTTTCAAAAATCATTATANAGAAGAAGACATAACATACATTATATTGCAGAAATTATAGAAAAATTGTAGAAAAATTGTATTCTGTTGTTTATTTATTTTTCTTTTATTCATTTAACTATTGTATGAAAGTTGAACAACATTGTATAAAAATTATATTTAAGTGGTATTATATTGTAGTTGTATATAACTTAGTAGAAATAATGTACGAAAATTATAGATAATTTGTAGATAAGTTGTATAATATATAATTAGTTGTATAAAATTATTTTTACTATGTATAAATCAGATACAAAATATACAAAAGACATATTGTATAAATTTGTATAAAATTTGTATGTAAGTTTTATGTTATTGTAGTTGTATTTCACTGGGTGGAAATAATGTGTGAAAGTTGTAGAAAATTGTAGATAAGTTGTATTCCTCTATAACGGGAGATGTTGGCATATCAAGTAACTTTAGTGTTGCAGACAAACATGCGTGAAAATAAAGATAAATTCTGTTATGAATAGTTTGTAAAAATTTTGTAGATAATTTGTAGAAACATTGAAATTCTATATTTTCATAGTAATTTTTCAAATGATATGTAGATTTATTGTAGAATAAATGTAGAAAACAAGCCATTGTGAGTCTTATTTGACTCATTCCTCACATTCAACCTATACTACAAATTCACGCCTCTTTAAATACAATACAACCATACTTTCTTGAATTTAAAGGTATTGCAAGATATATAACTTAAAAAACATCTTCTCCTCTGCACAAGTTAGCTCCAAAACAGACGAAGTGGAATAACAAGCTCTCATCAAAACTTTTAACACAAAAACACAAAGCTCAAATTTTATGTTATTGTAGTTATATTTAATTGGGTGGAATAATGTGTGAAAGTTGTAGAAAATTATAGATAAGTTGTATTCCTCTATAACGGGAGATGTTGACATATCAAGTAACTTTAGTGTTACAGACGAATATGCATGAAAATAAAGATAAATTATGTTATGAACAATTTGTAGAAATTTTGTAGATAATTTATAAAAACGTTGAAATTATGTATTTTCATGTTAGTTTTTCAAATGATATGTAATTTTGTTGTAGATTAAATGTAGAAAACAAGCCATTGTGAGTCTTATTTGACCCATTGCTCACATTCAACATATTCTACAAATTCACGCCTCTTTAAATACAATACAACCATACTTTCTTGAATTTAAAGGTATAGCAATATATATAACTTAAAAAACATCTTCTCCTCTGCACAAGTTATCTCCAAAACAGACGAAGTGGAACAACAAGCTCCCATCAAAACTTTTAACATAAAAACACAAAAGCTCAAAAATAAATAAACAACAGTCTACAATTTTTCTACAATTGCTGCAATATAATGTATGTCATGTCTTTTTCTTCTTCTTCTTGTTCTTCTTCTTCTTCTCCTTCTTCTTCTTCTTCTTCTTCTTCTTCTTCTTCTTCTTCTTCGAGTTTCAATCTGAAATTCAGCCAAAACCAAGTTTAATCTTCATCAAAACCCCTCAAAATTGAGATATAAACTCTAAACCGTATTCCCAATTATTTACAACAACACCCATTCCAAACAAATAATGATTCTTGAAAACCCAAATTTGAATTCAAAGCTTCAAAGTTTTTTAATGGTTGTCAATGGTGGAATTGCTATTCTCTTTTCCTTTCCCCTTATATTACTGAAGGAACCCGAAATCATAACCATCAAATCGACCAGGCTTGTGCTCATCTTCCCCGGGCACAAAAACATTGGGAGAAGATTGCAGAGGTGCTGACAGTGCCTTGACTATGGAAGAAATAATGGGATTTTGATACAGAAATCATGGGTGTGGGAGGGAAACGTGGGTGAAGGTGTGGAAATTGGAGAGAGAAACGTGGGGGAGTGGTATTAGAAGAAATATATGGTACCATTAAATTAGGAGTATAATTAATACCCTTAAAAACCACTAATGGTATATAAATGATAATTAAGTATACTAAATGTAATTATATCAAACCTATATGGCATAAGAATGTAAAAATTCCAAGTGCGAATCCAAGGAATTTCAGGGCGCGTTCATGTTATTTTGGGCCTTCTTATTTACTGAATGTTAAAACTTCCAGATTAACATACAACCAGTTTCTGATTAAGGGAAGAAGCTAAAAGAATAAATAGTTGGTAAATGGCCTATAGTTCGAATGAGCAACTTTTACAAAGCTATCAGCAAAATGGAGTACTACAATGTTACCACAGTATTGGTATTTGGTGGTCATATTCAAATTCTTTTTCTCCACAACTGTTAAAATAATAATCTTGGAAAATAAATAATTATGCCCAGTTGACTATAATTGGTTTTCTAGCCTCCTAGTTTTCAACTTGAATTTTCGCCCACTAAAATTCAACAAAGAGATAATTCCTGCAAATTCTTAGCCCGATAAAATGAATCTTAAAAGGACTATCTCATCGTTACTAGTTACTACCAGTGTTTTCTTTTATGCTCATTCGGTTCACTTTTACCGCTATATTAAAAATATATTTTTACTTTTACTTGTCCAATATGCTAAAAATATATTTTTACTTTTACTTGTCCACTATACTAAATCAAGAGAAAGATAATTTTTTTGTTTTACCCTTATCATTAATTATTCATTTTCAAAATTATTTCCCAAAACTTTTTGAAATAATATCATTATTAGGGGTTATATGGTAAAATTATATACTACACTTAATAGTTTTNTATATATACTTGTGAAAGATCATGTGTGAGGATGCAGAGTAATTAATACAAAGTTCCTTGACGAAAAATGGAGTTAAAACATTTAATATCAGGGGTCAAATTATGGGAAACAGACAAATCAGAGGACCTGATAGCTAAAACTATATGCAATCTGCCTAGATGTCCACTGAAATGCGTCATCTATGCAACCTTTCGGGTCAGCATAATTGTACACAGCCACATTTTGTCAATTCATTTTGTTGCCCCCCTATTTAACAAGGTCCCCTTTTCAAAAAATTTCATTTTGGTCCAACAACTATCCTCCTAGCAAATCCTTCATTCTCCAAATGGCTCAGGTATTCTCTATTTTCACTACTAATTCTCTTCAAGGGGTTTATTTGTTATGTTAACTTTTCCTTATAATATTTGTGTTTTTCTTGTCAATCAGATGAAAGTGGTAATGAAGGTGCTCACCATGTCTGATGAAAAGACAAAGCAGAAAGCCATAGAAGCTGCAGCTGATATTTTAGGTAATTGCTATTGGATCTAGTTTTAGTCATAAGAAAAGTTGAATCAGACTTGTAATTTTTACTAATAAAAAATTAAGTGCAGGGGTAGATTCAATAGCAGCAGATCTAAAGGAGCAGAAACTAACAGTGATAGGAGAAATGGATGCAGTAGCAGTGGTAAAGAAGTTGAAAAAGGCAGTGGGTAAAGTTGATATAATATCAGTAGGGCCAGCTAAGGAAGAGAAGAAAGAGGAAAAGAAAGAAGAGAAAAAGGAAGAAAAGAAAGAGGAAAAGAAGGAAGAAAAGAAAGAGGAAAAGAAAGAAGAGAAGAAAGAAGAGCCGCAGAAGTGATTTATCTCCATTTGGTATACTACAATCCAAACAAAGCTTTGGGTCTTCAAATTGTGTTAATTGTATACGCAATTGCAAGTATGAATCGCTTCTTTGTCTCTTTAGACTAATTAAATAAAATTTTGTCTTGTTTCTTCGTGTTATTCCCTTTATTCCTTTCTACTTTTCTATTTTCTGTTTTATTTTATTTCAACTTCTTTGGGTGAGGAGAAAAATATAGGCGTTTAAGAATGAATATGACAATAATTTTTCTCTGTTTATTGGAGAAAAATGGGAAAATCACTATGCTGGCGTCCTACTTTATTGTGTGTGTTTTGGACAATTATATTGTGGCATGTAACTGTACAAGTCAAAATTTGACCACAGTAGCCGACCTAGTTAGAACCCCGTCTAAAGGGCGAGGTAGCGAGGACCATCACGACCTACTTCAGTCTAAGTATCCACAATGTAGTGGGTCAAAAGACAATACTTAAATAATGATAAAAAGGCCTTAGTGTAAGGGCAGACCGACCGGAGAAGGTGGTCATGGTCTCAAAGCTATATATAAGGGATGAATTCCCCAAAGAGGGGGGGGGGGGTTCGCTTTCTCTCTCTATATCCTCCCCTTCTATTTTCCTTCTAAAAAGAATGTAAAATCGATGGCCTCTGGGGCATCATGAAAGAGGAAATTACAAAGATTAATGACGATTTCTCTCTTTTATTTCATTTTATCCATTAACTACTTTCCGATTCATTTTCAGATCTGGAGTTTACTATGTTTGACTAAGATTAATCTAATCATTAGTATCAATTGTCTTAATCAAAAAGGCTTTGGCATCTTTTGGTCAAACAATTTGGCGCCGTCTGTGGGAATTTCTTAGTGAAATTTCCTAGTCTCTTCCAGATCAAAAACCGAAAACATGATCACCCACCAAAAAGAGCGGTAAATAAACCTCATGTGCTAATTTAGATCATGATGCTATATGCAAGCAGAAGTTACAACTAACATCCNCGTTGGTGCTCGGCAAGTGTGGTCGGGTGCTAGTCATGGCCCTTCAGTTTGGGTCGTGACATCCCCCATACATCGGGCGGTCCACGAACCAACTATGGCAAGCCCAACCCACGCAGGGCAAAAGCACAAAATAGAAGGGGAAAGAGAGCTGAATACGACCACCGAATTTGAAACGCTAGGCAAAACGAACAACGCTATAAATCCACCCTCATTCACCGTCTCGTCGAATCGGGGTAAGGAAAATATCATTTTGGCTCACCTTCTGTTGTTTGCTCAAACAGGAACACGCGTCGCGCATGCGAGTGAGCAAAGAAATATCTCAACTGGAGAATGGAAAACTATTACAAGACAACCGAAATATCGCCCACCTGACAATCCAACTTCTAGAAAATGACGCCCTTCAAGCTGTACTCTCTCTCCCTCACCTAGGGGTTGTCCTAATAGGGTTTTCCCGGGGACTTAAGGACCGAGTCAACGAGGGAGACATCACCAAGTTCAAAGTATAATTCATCGTCTCACCCACTAATGACATCTCCAGACCGGAAAGCAAAAAGGTTAGACAAGGAAACTCCAATGTGTGCACGAAACGAACGTGAGCAAAACAGCAACGTTTCATACTTTCCGACACTACACTCTTCGATGCAAACAAAATCAAGCGAACTGGGACTCACCTAGGAAGCGCAGAGGTTGAGCAAAACTGGGACTCCCCCAGAGGATACCCGACTCTCCAAAAAACTGGGACTAACGATGGGTTAATATTTTAGCGATAATTCGAAATAACACCCTTAAGGCCAAGGGCCTTCGCCAAAGAGCAGAGTTCGACCTCGATCGACCGACGATAGGTTAATATTTCGATGAAAGTTTGAAATAACATCCTTAAGGCCAAGAGCCTTCGCCAAAGAGCAGAGTTCGACCTCGATCGAACGACGACGGGCTAATATTTCGACAAAAGTTCGAAATAACACGCTTAAGGCCAAAAGGTCATTGCCAAAGAGAAGAGTTCGACCTCGATCGAAGAACAACGGTTTAATATTTCGACGAAAGTTCGAAATAACACCCTTAAGGCCAAGAGCCATCACCAAATAGAAGAGTTCGACCTCGATCGAACGACGACGCATTAATATTTCGACGAAAGTTCGAAATAACACCCTTAAGGCCAAGAGCCTTCGCCAAAGAGCATAGTTCGACCTCGATCGAACGACGGGTTAATATTTCGATGAAAGCTCAAAATAACACCCTTAAGAGGTCGAACGACGGGTTAATATTTCGATGAAAGCTCGAAATAACACCCTTAAGGCCAAAATCCTTTGCCAAAGAGCAGAGTTCGACCTCGATCAAACGACGACGAGTAAATATTTCGATAAAAGTTCGAAATAACACTCTTAAGACCAAGGGCCTTCGCCAAAGAGAAGAGTTCGACCTCGATCGACAACGACGAGTTAATATTTCGACGAAAGTTCGAAATAATACCCTTAAGGCCAAGGGCCATTGCCAAAGAGAAGAGTTCGACCTCGATCGAACGACGACGGGTTAATATTTCGACGGTTGTTCGAAATAATACCCTTAAGGCCAAGAGCCTTCGCCAACGAGCAGAGTTCGACCTCGATAAAAAAACGACGGGTTAATATTTCGACGGTTGTTCGAAATAATACCCTTAAGGCCAAGAGCCTTCGCCAACGAGCAGAGTTCGACCTCGATCGAACAACGACGGGTTAATATTTTGACGAAAGCTCGAAATAACACCCTTAAGGCCAAGATCCTTCGTCAAAGAGCAGAGTTCGACCTCGATAAAAAAACGACGGGTTAATATTTCGATAAAAGTTCGAAATAACACCCTTAAGGCCAAGGGCCTTCGCCAATGAGAAGAGTTCGACCTCGATCGAACGACGACGGGTTAATAGTATGATGAAAGCTCGAAATAACACCTTTAAGGCCAAGAGCCTTCGCCAAAGAGAAGATTTCGACCTCGATCGAACAACGATGGGTTAATATTTCGACGAAAGTTCGAAATAACACCCTTAAGACCAAGGGCCATCGCCAAAGAGAAGAGTTTGACCTCGATCGAACAATGACGGGTTAATATTTTGCTGAAAGCTCGAAATAACACCCTTAAGGCTAAGAGCCTTCGCCAAAGAGCAGAGTCCGACCTCGATCGAACAACGACGGGTTAATATTTCGATGAAAGTTCAAAATAACACCCTTAAGGCCAAGGGCCTTCGCCAAAGAGAAGAGTTCGACATTGATCGAACATCGACGGGTTAATATTTTGACGAAAGCTCGAAATAACACCCTTAAGGCTAAGAGCCTTCGCCAAAAAGCAGAGTTCGACCTCGATCGAACAACGACGGGTTAATATTTCGATGAAAGTTCGAAATAACACCCTTAAGGCCAAGGGCCTTCGCCAAAGAGCAGAGTTCGAACTCGATTGAACAATGACGGGTCAATATTTCGACGAAAGTTCGAAATAACACCCTTAAGGCCAAGAGCCTTCGTCAAAGAGGAGTTCGACCTCGATCGAACAGCGACGGGTTAATATTTCGATGAAAGTTCGAAATAATACCCTTAAGGCCAAGGGCCTTCGCCAATGGGAGTTTGATCCAACCCGGACGACCCAAGTTATGATTGGCTTCGTCCGAAATAACAAATATGTTATAAAATCCCGTTTCAAGTCTAGGGCGGATCCGCTCAAAACAAATAAGTCACCTGTTGACCTCGCCCAAATAGGCAGTTCAATGACTCCATTCAGACTCACACGACGAAGTCCAACTCAGTCCGGCTAAGATTAAATTCCTTGGAAATCAGGTACGGAAATCCAAAATTTTACGCCAAAATTATGCAAAGGAAAAGGAAGGGAAGCGCGAAAGACATACGCCGATGAAAACTTCTTTTTATTTAAAGCAGTTGCGTAAATAGTCACCAATTACATACGGCTGAAAGCCGGGCAAGTCCAAAGAGAAAAAAAAAGAACAACACAAAGATGACCCAAAAAAAAAACCACACAAAGATAAGCAATTCTTTCACTCGGCGTCATCACCGTCGTCCTCCTCACCACCGTTTCCAGGAAGTATCTCTTCAGTATCAGCGTCCTCATCGGCCCCCTGCATCACAGGATCATATTCGCAGTTAACACGAGCCTCTTGATAACTGTGATTTCTACATGTTTTATACCCATTCTTACCTAAGCTTTGTGCATTAACTGCCATAAATTAGTCTCAAAATGCTTACAAGTTGCGCTTGATTGTAGGTTTGAGCGACAAGATGACAAATACCAAAGATCGGCTCAAAAAGGAGTGAAATCTGCCAAGTATCAAAGGATAACTGAAGTGGGGAACAAAATGACCTGTGCGATCCGCACTGATGTGTCACGCGGCTGCACAGGAGAGTTCAGAGGCTGGGCTATTTCAAGGTCAACCTGTGCGGTCCGCACTGTTTTGCCACGCGGTCGCACAGGATAGTTCAGAGACCATGCAATTTCTAAGTCAAGACCCCCGGTCCGTGCTCCTTTCCACGCGGTCCGCGCCCAAGAGTGTCAGAGACTTAGTCATTCAAGACAAAAGCCCACGCGTCCGCACACCTAATCAGTGCGGTCCGCGTGGAAACACCCTACGCGGCCGCGCGTCACATTTGTGCGGTCCGCGTCCCCAGTGTCAGAAGCAAGATATGAAGACCCAAACCCCTACGCGGTCGCGCGTCATTTGTGTGCGGTCCGCGCCTGACCCTCAGGGGTATTTTTGTCCGGTTTTTCTTGTGTAGTATAAATAAAACATTTTACTTTTTAGGTGCAGTTTTCAGTTTTGGTTTTTTTATCAGATAGCAGCTGAACTCGAGACTTCATAGTTTTAGTCCATTTTGGGCAATTTCTTCTAGTATTAACGTGGATTTGAGTAGATTAACATTGTAGTTAATTATTATGTCAATTTCATCTACTATTTCTTCAATTTCTGTTTCTATTATGGCTAGCTAAACCCATTAGCTAGGGTTGTGGCTCAACCCTAGTGTGGGTAATTAATGGGTGTGATTGTTTAGTGCATGAATGATGTTGGGTATTTGTTATTTGGATTAATCTTATGTTTTCATTAAGATTTGGTGGTTGCAAACACTAAGTCTAGCTTAGTGAGTCTTGACTCTTCTTGAGAAAGAGAGTCTATGACC